TAGAAACATTGATGAGAGAGAAACATAGACCAGCTGCCTCTTGCACACCCCCTGGATGTGTCTGAAACCAAGGTACATGCCCTTGACCAGAATTGAACCTGACAGCCCTCAATCCGCAGATGGATCCTCTATCCGCCGAGCCAAACAGGTTTAGGCTAAATGATGTTCTTTTTATCTGACACATATAGGAACAGAATTTTTAAGTGATTAAATTGTTATACTAATAATGACACTGGGATGTTGATTATCCTATTATCTCTACTTCGTATAACCTTTAAGATGTTTTTATCTTTATTGTTGAGAATATTACAGATGGTCTCCCTCTCAATTTTCCCCCTTGCCCTCCACAAACCAGTTCCCACTCTGCCCCAGGCCTTCACCCAGTTAAGGAAAAACAAAACAAAATAAAAAAAAAAAGCATTGAAACCTGTAAAGAATTTTTGTGAGTTTATTTGAGCCAAACTGTCACATACCTGGATTTGGGGCTTGATTCCCCATGTGTGAGAATGTGTGGGGGGGAATTGGGGGAGAAGGGGATGGATGGGGGGATGAATATAGGGAGGGGTGGTGGTGGTTGTTCAGGAGGCAGCAGACTAATGTTTCTCACATCAATGCTTCACTCTGTCTGCCTCTCCCTTCCACTCTCACTAAAATAAAATAAAAATATATTGAAAAAATGAAAAATAAGACAATGTGCTGATACAGGATGGAAGTATGTGAAACATAGGCAGGTGTAGGATATGTAGATTGCTCTCCTTTGAAGATATACGGGGACAATGTTCTCTATACAAACATAAGTCATACCCATGTTTGCCCAAGCGAGCACTGGCCTTTCTGCCCCAGCACCGGGCACGCCCGCCTCGGGCCTGTGACAGCCCCTCCGCTCCCACAGGCCGCCCTCTCCCGGGGGCGGGGACAGGGAAACGGTGCTGCGAGGCCTGGTCTGCTGAGCGGGAACCTGTGGAGGCTGAGAACCGCAGGATGATTTTATGAAGTAAAAAAGAGACAAGAACAGGCTGTGGAAACACCTCCTTCCAAGACAACCTCTAAAGAAACGGGCTGAGGCTTTTAGGCAATTTCTTTTTTTAAAACCTTTATTGAGGGAAGTGTTACATATTTGCCCTTTTCCCTCCCATTGACCCCTTAGGGCCACTCTGACCCGTTCATTTCTCTTCACCAGAGTGAAAGGAAACAGGGGCCAGGTCGCGCCCTTTGACCCGGATGTGGAAACACCTCCTTCAAAGACAACCTCTAAAGAAACAGGCTGAGACTTTTAGACAACTTCTTTCTGTTTTTTTTTTTTTTAAACCTTTATTGAGGGAAGTATTACATATTTGCCCTTTTCCCTCCCATTGACCCCTTAGGGCCACCCCTGACCCGTCCATATTCTCTTCACCAGAGTGAAAGGAAATGGGAGGGGGGAGGGAGGGGAGAACCAGGTCGCGCCCTTTGACCCGGATGTGGAAGACTCTGGCTTTGCGGGCGGAAGGAGCACACAGCGCCCCCTAGGCCTCGAGGACCCGGCTCAGCGCTGAGCAGAGACCGAGCGGAGCGGGTAGGGGAGCGGATCCCAGACTGCGGGAGGGCGGGACTCAGGAGGAGCAGATGCGGGAGGGGGGTGCGGAGGCCGGGGCGGGGGTGCGGAGGCGGGGCGGGGGTGCGGAGGCCGGCCGGGGCGCGGAGGCCGAGGTGCCCCCTGGTGGTGGTGAGGTCGGCCATGGCGGAAATGGCCGTCAGGGCGCTGAGGGCTGCGGGGCTGCGGTTCTCACTGGGCGTTTGGAACCGGTGCTCTGGCCGCTGAGAGGGTCCTGCGGTTCAGAGGCGGAGGCGGAGGGGAGGGGAAGTTCCGGCGGTGGCTGCGGAGGGACCCCGACTTCAGCCCTCCTCTCCCCACCCCCTCGGGGCCCAGCCCAGGGAGCTGCGTCCAAGACCCAGGGCTCCTGGTGGGGACATTGCGTGCCAGGCCCTGGGCTCATGGCTGTGCCACTTTCTTTATCCATGTACTCCTTGTTTAAGGTGCTGTTTTTAAATATATATTTTTATTCGTTTCAGAGGGTCGAGAGGGAATCATTGAATGGCTTCCTCCCGCGGGCCTCACACTGGGGATTGAGGCTTAACCCTGGCATGTTCAACTACTGAGCCACACTGGATGGGCTCTAGTTAAGGTTTTACACATGTGTTTGTAATTAATTAAAGATGACATATTTACTGATATTTTAATGGCTTCATATGTTCCCTTTTTACTCTGCAACGAACTGTGGAATTTGTTTTGGTGAAATCATGAGGTATTCGGTTTTCCAAGGACTTCAAACTGAATTTGTACATTAAATGCATTTTGTCAGTGTTGAGAAAAATACCAGCAGACCTACAATTAAATCATCCAAATAAGGACGATGCACCTCCAAGCAATTCTCCAAAAAGCAGCAGACACTGACAGGGTGAATTTGAAACTAGCTAGGTAGAGATAGTCAGACTCCACAGCATCAGATCCCCACTGTGGAAGCCAGTCCAAAGTCCAGGTTGCTACTTGTACTTCTGATCCAATAGCTTAAATCAGAGGTCACCACAACGCCCTCTTTGAGGACCTAGTGGGGCTCACAGAACTCAAGCCTTTCCTTGGGTTTACCACCTTTATTACAAAGGATACAGATGACAAGCCAGATGAAGAGGTACAAAGGGAGAGATCTGGAAATATGTGGAGGGCAGGAGCTTCTATCCCTGTGGAACTGGAGTGAGTGTGCCACCCTCCTGGCATTTGCACATGCTCCTCAACACAGACACTCTTCAAATCTCCAAAAGTTTGTACTGTTTTCACAGAAGTTAATGTCTAGCCCCCGCCTAACCTCCCATAATTCGGTGGGTGGGGCCCAAAGGTCTAATCTCATCAATTGGTCTTTTTGGTGACCAAGCTACTGGATGTCCATCTTGCCCCATGCAATCACATCATTAAGGTAAGTTCAGATGTGCTCAAAGGGTGTTGCTAATAACTACTAAAATATACCCCTATCTATGCCGAAACCGGTTTGGCTCAGTGGTAGTCAGTCTGCGAACTGAAAGGTCCCAGGTTTGATTCTGGTCAAGGGCATGTACATTGGTTGCGGGCACATCCCCGGTAGGGGGTGTGCAAGAGGCAGCTGGTCGATGTTTCTTTCTCATCGACGTTTCAAGCTCTCTAGCACTCTCCCTTCCTCTCTGTAAAAAATCAATAAAATATATTTTTAAAAAAAGAAAATCAATAAAAAATATATATTCCCCTATCATTCGGGAAATTTCAAGGGCTTTAGGAGCTCTGTACCAGAAGTTAAGGATAAAGACTAAGTATATATTTCTAGTTGTACCATAAAAGAAAAATGGAAATACTATGCAGAAATTCTTAAGTTCTGTGTCACACATATTCTTATTGTTTAAAACCACAAGTTTCAAGAGGTTTATTTATGTTTATGCTGACACAAAACTGAAAGGGAACCTGAGTGTTACTTTCCTTATTCCATGTGTTACTGAAAGAAAAGGTGATTAAAGAACCCGTTCCAATGACACAGGTAATCTGAGAATCAGATTTAGAATTCGACCGACATAACACAGAAGATGGAATTTTAATGCCTTCCTTGTCTTTCCTCAGTCTCAATTTATATTATTTGTGGAGATTTAAGTGTGGATGGGAAATGGGAACACAGAACATGATACATTTGGAGTGGAAGAGAAAGGGGACCAGTTTGAAACAACCATGAGGAAGAAAATAGATGGAATAGATCTGAGAGCTTTGAGATGAATGGAAAGAGGTAAAGTTTAAAAAAAGGAGTAGGAGACAACTACCTAGAACAGAACAGAGAATCACAGAAATTGAATTAAAAAAAACTTTTTAAAATCAAGGAATGTTTTAGGAAAGGAGAGAGAATATTGTGAATTCAGGTGTGAAGAACCCAGGTACTATAATTATTTTTGCAACTCCTTACCTATAGTCCTTCTAAGTTCTTGCCATTTCTGTGAAACAAATCCAAAGACATCACAGGATTATACTCATAAATTTTTCATTATATATTTCTAAAAGAGACTTACAAACTTTTAATGCCATTCATTACCTCAACCTAACATAATCATCTTTGAATTGTTTTTATCTACAGATATCCATTTACAAGTTAAATTTTGGCTAAGTATTTCAAAGTGAAATAAAATTAAGTTACTCTTTTTCTGATAGTTGAGGCCAATGATAAATTTCCTTACAATAATTCATTTAGAGTTGGAAAATAGATTATAGTCTTCATTGGTAACTCCTCCTTAAATATTTTCCTGGTAAATAGTTTCATTTACCATAGATACTTTTTCTTTTTAACATTTAAGGAAACATATTCTTTTTTGTTTTGTTTTGTTAAAATATATATATATATATATATATATATATATATATATATATATATATTCCCCCCCCCATTTATTTCAGAGAGAAAGGGAGAGAGAGAGAGAGAGAGAGAGAGAGAGAGAGAGAGAGAGAGAAACATTAATGATGAGAGAGAATAATGGATTGGCTGATTCTTGCACATCCCCTACTAGGGGAAGCAGAGGATCGAGTCCGAAACCTGGACATGTGCCCTGAGCCAGAATCAATCCCAGGACCTTCCAGTTTTCAAATAGATGCTCTATTCACTGAGCCAAATCAGCCAGGGCACCAGAGGTACTTTTTCATACAGGGATGTAAAGATTAATTGCTGATTAAACTGTTCTTTAAATGTCAATATCATTCTCTTCACAGAAACCACATATGATTTAGATTGTGCTGAGGTTTTGACCACAAGGACTCCACAGCCCATGATCAATTGGGGGAAAAGGCATTAAATACAGGCAAGAGTGGCAGGAAGTCTGGGCATCAGCTGAAAAGTAGGACTCTTTTTGGACTCTCCTACTGCATTGTGCACAGAGTAGACCTCAGCTTCTCACTTTTCCTCACTTCTGGAGGATCACACTGACTGAAAAGACTGTCTTTGGTCAGACACCCTCATTGCACAATGGAGTCTGCAGCCACTCTGGCTGAGCTCCAGGCAGAGGCCAACTGCCCCATCTGCCTGGATTACCTGAGAGACCCAGTGACCATTGAATGTGGGCACACCTTCTGTCACTCCTGCATCTACCAGCGCTGGGAAGATCTACTGGGCACCTTTCCCTGTCCTGTCTGCCTCCATCATTGCCCTGACAGGAAATTGAAGAGGAACACCCAATTATGTCACATGATTGAAATTGTTAAACAGATTCCCACCACAGGGAGCGAGAGGAAATTGCAGGAAGAAAAACCCAGGTGTTGGAAGCATGATGAGGTTTTGACATTTTTTTCTGACAGGACCCAGGAGATGTTATGTCCTCATTGCAAAGACTTCTTAAAGCACCAAGATCAGTCCCTGATACCCATTGAGGAAGCTGCTGCTAGTTATAGGAGGGACCTCAAAAGATATATTGGGGCGCTGATGGTAGAGGTTGAAGATGCTGAAACAGAATATGAAAACCAAATTGCAAAAACTTTTGAAGCGCAGGAAAAGATGGAAAAGTGGAGGAAAGAATTGCAGTATGAATGTAAAGAATTAAAGTGTTCCTTACAAGTGGAGCATAATGTATGTAATGCTGGTCTACTTATAGAAGAGAAGAATGTTGAAGAAAAGCTAACTGAAAATGGAAGGCAAATTTCAAACTGTATGTTCATACTAAAAAAGCTTTTAAGTGAAATAGCAGAGAAGTATTTGCAAGCAGATGTAGATTTACTCACAGGTATTGAAAGGATCCACAACAGATATGAAAACCTAGAAATCCCAGTAGTGTTTTCATATGAATTAAAGAAGAAGATTTTCATTCTCCCCGCACATTATTTGGGCCTGCATAAAATGATCCGCACGTTTCAGGTAGATTTGACACTGGATCCTGAAACAGCCCATCCAAGTCTCATTATCTCAAGAGATAGAAAAAGTGTGACATATAAGACACCAGATGGTTTTCCTAATCCCCAGGCACACACTTCTTACCCAGCTGTCCTGAGTTCTGAGGGATTTGATGGTGGCAGGCATTTTTGGCAGGTGGAAGTAAGAGGCACAGGTGAATGGTCCTTAGGTGTGTGTAAAGAATCTTTCCCCAGAAATACTCTCATATCACCATTGCCAAGCAATGGATGCTGGCGATATCAGCAGCAGGCTGGTATATTTGGCCTTTTCCCTAGAGGACAACATAAGATTGGCATTTTCCTGGACTATGATTTGGGAGAGGTTTCATTTTATAATTTGAATAACAGGTCATACTTGTATGCATTTACTGACATATTTACAGAGAAACTCATGCCTTATTTCTCCATTTCATCTTCTTCAAAAACTCTTACAATTAGTATCACTAGAGTCTAGTGATGAAAAATTTGGAAGAAATTTTATATGTGCTTATTTTCATCCCTCTTTATTGAAAGGAATACTTAGAATAAAGATCCTGATTCCAGTTTTGAAGTTTGAATTTTAAAAGGTTTAAGGACTCTCCATTCTCTCCCCCCTGACCTTTACCTGGGAAATCTGATGGGAAAGACCAGGTGCTCCATCTTTGGGTGCAAGTGGGAAGTTCCATTCAAGCAAGTTTCCATCAGTGTGGGCAGGCTACCAGCAACAGCACACAGTAACCACCATGAACCCCACAAGCTAGTCCCTTTTCTCTGTATTCCCAGTCATTTTGGGACCTAGTCTAATATCCACCTTTCTCTCTCCCAAACCTCACCATGTGAGCAATAAACTTTTCATAATCTTTTGGTATGTAGTGAGTCATCATCATTGTGAATTGAAACCAATTTTGGATGGCTTCCACCCTGCCTATGCAAGCTGGTCACCACCATTGACATTGTGAGCAGGATTTTCTCCTCCACTTTGTGTGGTAACACACCCGGTTCCCTAGGCAAGGGTGTCTTTGCAATTTGTGATGCATTTGCTGAGTCCTAGGGAGGCTCTGTTGTAATTGAACTGACCTAAGTCAGAAGTTTCTATAAGAATCACATTCTATTGACTATTATTTTCCATGTAATATTTTTTGGAGTTCTAATTGTCTTGCTTTTGTCTAATGTTTTATAATATTTTGTCTCATGTTATATAGAAATTTCATCTGCAGGGCTGTGAAAAACCAAGCTGACCGTAGTGTTACAAATACGCACAGTAATTAATAAAAAAATATACAAGAATAAACTTTTGCATGCTAACAACTGTGATCATAACTTTATTTTAAAATTCTCACCTGAGCCTAGACAGTGTGGTTCAGTGTTTGAGCATAAACCTGTGAACCAGGAGGCCATGGTTCAGTTTGACTCTCAGGGCACATGCCCAGGTGGTGGGCTCAATGCACAATGTGGGGTGTGCAGGAGGCAGCCTCCCTCTCCCTCTCCATTCCTCTCTGTAATTAATAAAAATATATTTAAAATAAAATAAAATTCTCACCTGATGATGTTTATTCACACACACCACACAAAGAGAGAGGGGGGGGGAGGGACAGAGAGAGAGGTGTGGGAAAGAGAGAAACATTGATGTGAGACAGAAGCATCTATCATTTACTTCACGAACTCAACCTGACCTGGGATTGAACTCCAAGCCTATGTGCTCTGACTGAGGATCAAACTTGCCAACTTTTTGTTGTATGACAAGACATTCCAAGGAACTGAGCTACTTGCCCAGGGCTATACACCTACAATTTACAACTACTGTATGACCTGCAAAGGTGACATATTCATTTTTGATCTTATGTGAAATTGTCAACCTTTGAAACATGCTTCTGTATGGTTGTCTGTTATGGTATTGTTTACAATGTTTGGAAATAAAGTTTTACTTAGTATATCTCTGTACTATTTGTCTCTCATAACTTGAAAAGATGCTCAGCAGAGCTTTTATTGAGGAATCCATGCTATGCTGTGGTGATGCTTACTCTTGTGAGGTGTAATGTATGGCAGCAGGGCACTGCTCCATTACCCACCCAGGGATCTAACTCCCTCAGTTGTGTTGTCACAGCACTGTGTCAGAACAACTAGAGAAAGAGGGAGCACTGAATAGCCACCTTGAGCATTGAAGGCCAACACCAGGAGGAGACACACAAAAATAGTTCTTAAAATCTGTTTGTTAAAAATGTTTTTATTGATTTTAGAGTGTGGGGAAGGGAGAGGGGGAGAGAAAAAAATAAATACTATCATTTGGTTGCCTCCTATACATGCTACAATTTTGGATTGAAACTGCAAACTGGGCATGTGTTCTGACCAGTAATTAAACTGGCCACCTTTTGGGACATGGGACAATGCTCAGCCACCTGAGCCACACTGGCCAGGGCCCTAGGAATTACTTAAATGAATGGTGTGGCATGTGTGAGAGACAGTGGTGGCATTATGGTATGTTTGCAGCACAAAATCACAAAAGCAATTCACATGTAACAATCTCTCATCAGGCACAAATTCAGTTGCTATGGTTACTTAAACAACCCAAGTAATTACCAGTTTAGATTTCAGTTAAACATGGCATATGAACTGTAATTTTTTTTTTTGAACTGCAATTCTTTTTTTCCTTTTTAAAAATATATTTTTATTGAGTTTTTACAGAGAGGAAAAGAGAGGGAGAGTTAGAAACATCAATCAGCTGCCTCTTGCACATTCCCTACTGGGGTTGTGCCCACAACCAAAGTACAAGCCCTTGACTGGAATTGAACCTGGGACCCTTCAGTCCACAGGGTGCTGCTCTATCCACTGAGCCAAACCAGTTTCAGCTGTAATTCTTAAAGTAGGAATAATATGGACCCAGAGGGTGGGGTCTCAGTCCCAGAGGATTACTCACCTCAGTAGTTCATCACTTCAAAGTGTGCCTTCCACATCATGGTACCACACAACTATGTCTTCTGGCCCTTTACAACAACAATCACCTTTCTTCAGTGTCATATAACACCTTCCTCATTCTCTGTGTTGTCACCAAAGGACCTTTCACATTCATTTTTCTACTGACATTTTCCGAAAAATACATGTCTTTTTCAGGGCTTTTTAAATTTTTTGGTAATGATCTATAAATCCTATTTCAGGGTATAGCAAAGGTTAGAAGACAGAAACACTTTGTGGAGGGAAACAATCCCAAAGGAATTGACTTAAGGAGATGATTGTTCTACGTTGATGGTATCTTTTAGAATAGGAAATTTTAGGAATTTGTATGCTGGTCTCTTTTAGTCACTGAACAAAAATCAGTCTTATACTGAGAGGGGGAACTTAAAATCTAATAGATAAAGCACCTGTATTAATCTGAAAAACAATCATATTTTAAATCTTAGAACACATATACTTATGTAAATGGGGGTTAATAGGGAGTTAAGTTTTTCTTTAAGTTTCCTTTTCAAAGCTTGTGTGAAGTGCCGAAGCCGGTTTGGCTCAGTGGTAGAGCGTCGGTCTGCGGACTGAAAGGTCTCAGGTTCGATTCCAGTCAAGGGCATGTACATTGGCTGCGGGCACATCTCCGGTGGGGGGTGTGCAAGAGGTGGCTGGTCGATGTTTCTCTCTCATCGACGTTTCTAACTCTCTCTCCCTCTCCCTTCCTCTCTGTAAAAAATCAATAAAATATATTAAATAAATAAATAAAAAAGCTTGTGTGAAGTGACTGGGGAGGGGACTCAACTGTGAATCCAACAAGCAGAACACACCAGCATAGTCAAGCCAACCCACCAGGAGTCAAAACATCATCTAATCAACATCATCTTATGGCCTGATGACTAATTACAAGAACTGATGCCTGAGGACCCCCAGATCAGCAGGTAGCTGCATTCCTCTCACCAGCCTCTTTCCCTTCATAAATCCATCCCTGAATCTTGCTGGGAGGCAGGATTTGATTCTTGTAAGCACCCTGTCTTCTTGGCTGTCTAGCCTTCTCAGTAAACACCTAATATGATTCAACCCTACCATCTTTATTGGACACAGCGACAGGCAGCCTAATCCCACCCAAGGTGCCCTGGTAACAATACCTGAGCTTACTAACTCAATTGAAATAGCGGTTAGTGATTTCATCGCTCATCTAGCAGCAAAGTCACTTGAATACTATTTCATTTTTATGTCACTTTGCTTAATGACTGTCTTGGCAATGAGATTGACTAGAATCAACTGTGATTCTGTATGTGTTTTGTTTCATAGGAATCAGTCTTTCATAGATTGCTAACATAAATGTTTGAATTTTTAGTTAAAATATATCTTACACATTGATTTCAGAGAAGTTGGGAAAAGAAGGGAGAGACAGAACCATCATGAATAAGAGAGAAACATGTAAAGGCTGCCTTCTGCACCAGCCTCAAAGGATCAAGTGAGAAAACTAGGCTTGAGCCATGACCAGAAATCAGACCTTGACCTCTGGTTCATAGATCTATGCTCAGACACTGTGCTATACTGACTGGGCAAATGTTTGATATTAAAAGAATGTGGAGGGTGTCAACCATAATTGAAAATAAGTGATAGCCCTCGCTGGCTTGGCTCAGTGGCTAGAGGATCGGCCTGCTGACTGAAAGGTTCCAGTCACGATTCTGGTTAAGGACACAGGATCAGGTTGCCGGCTCAGTTCCAAGTGGGGGTGTGCAGGTGGCAGCTGATCAATGATGATGTTCCTCATCGATGATGTTTCCCTCTTTTCTTCTTTGAAATCAAGAAAAATGTACTAAAAAACAAAAACAAAAAAGAACAACAAAAACACACGCAAAAAAAAACAACAACAAAAAAACCAACAACCACACACACCTAAAAGCACAACATTAAAAAAAAATTAACAAAAATGAAACTGGTAAATTTTTGTAATTCAATATAAACACCATATTCCCTAATTAGCAATATGTCCAAAATTAATTTATAAAGAATTTTAGAGCTCAAAGAAGCTTTTCGATGAAAGTAACTAGGCTGGGATTTGAAGAAAGAAAGCCAGTGCAAGGGGTAAACAGTGCATAAAGGGCAAGAGGCTGCCACGGACTAACCTGCCTGTGCAAAGTGCTGTGGCAGAGGGTGCCAGGCCCCGAGTGTGGGAAGAGAGGGCAGGACTGCAGAGTGCTGGGGGTGACAGGGGGTGAAAGTGGTGGGCTTCTCACATTCCAAGGTGAGAAAAGAAATGGGTCTCCCTTAGCCTTCAGGAATCTACTTCTTTTTTTATTCTTAACATATTTTATTGACTTTTCTTACAGAGAGGAAAGGAGAGAGATAGAGAGCTAGAAACATCTACGAGAGAGAAACATCGACCAGCTGCCTCTTGCACACCCCCTACTGGGGATGTGCCCACAACCAATGTACATGCCCTTGACCGGAATCGAACCTGGGACCTTTCAGTTCGCAGACCGACTCTCTACCGCTGAGCCAAACCGGTTTCGGCCGGCATCTACTTCTTAA